ACCCAGGAGTCCTGGCTCCCAGCCCCCCCCGCTCTAACCACTAGCTCCCACTCCCCTCCCAGAGCCAGGGAGAGAACCCAGGAGTCCTGGCTCCCAGCCCCCCCTGCTCTAACCACTAGCTCCCACTCCCCTCCCAGAGCCAGGGAGAGAACCCAGGAGTCCTGGCTCCCAGCCCCCCCCGCTCTAACCACTAGACCCCACTCCCCTCCCAGAGCCGGGGAGAGAACCCAGGAGTCCTGCCTCCCAGCCCCCGCTCCCCTCCCCAGGGAAGGAACCCAGGAGTTCTGCCTATTCTCAGTCTATGTATTCAGAGACCCAGGGCGGGCGCCTGCCAGGTACCCAGGCTCACGGCTGAATGCCGATGAGATGTTAACAAATATTTATAAGGTGCTTATGAATATGCAGAGTATGCAAATTAACAGCTTTTGCAGGACTGGGCACGAGGCCCCCCGTCCCCTGTGAATATTAATGAACCCCTTTGGCCTCTCACCTGCGTGAATATTAACGACCCATCTACCAACCCAGATATATGAATATGGCTGCCATGCATATGTTAATAGCCTTATGAATATTGATGACTGAGTCGCACCTGATGGCGGAGGCCCAGGCCCTGTGGAGTGTGGAAGGGTGTGTGTGTGTGGTGGGGGGGGGGGAAATAGATGAGCCTTATGAATATTAATATTGAATTTATGAATATTCATGAGCGTGCCTCGTGACTACCATACCCTCCCCTCATTAATATTAACGAGCTGCTTGTTGGCTATACCCCCCCTCGCCTCCCCTAGTCACCAAGGAGACCCTTCCCCTCATGAATATTAACGACTCCCGATGAATACTAATGAGCTGTTACGTTGCATTATAACCCCTCCTCCTCCGTCAATATTAATGAGCCCCGGTACTATTAACCACGCCTACCCTCATGAATATTAATTAGACAAATCGACCTGCGGCTCCGCCAGCCCGGCGCAAAGAGCAATGACCCCTCATGAATATTAACGACCCCTCATGAATATTAACGCCCCGTTGCCGCCAGCGCCCCGCCCCCCGACTCACCCGCGGGCCCAGGCCCCGGCAGCCCCCGGCCCGGCCAGCGCCCGGGCAGCGCCAGCAGCAGCAGCAGCGGCACGGAGGCGGCGCGCGGGCAGAGCAGCCATGGCCGCGCGCTGCTGACGTCACGGGCCGGGGCAGGCCGCCGCGCGGGGCAGGCCGGGATAGGGGCGGACCGGACACAACCCCGGGCTACTAACCCGCCGGGCGCCATATTGGATCCCGGCCCCGCCCCCCGACTCGCATAACAGCCCGCCCCCTCGGTTCCCGGCCCCGCCCCCTCGGATCCGGCCCGCCCCCGACTCGTATAACAGCCCGCCCCATCGGATTCCGGCCCGCCCCCTCGGATCCGGCCCGCCCCCGACTCGTATAACAGCCCGCCCCATCGGATTCCGG